GACCCTCCCCTAACCCCAAATTTGGGGTGCCTGAACCGGCCGGAAACGCGACCCTCACACAAAGGTTCCTAATCTCAAAACCTCCATTTCGGGGGCTCCCCACCCCCGAAATTTTGGGGTCCGCGCCATTTTTGGGGTCTCATGATGCCCCTAAATCCCAATTTTGGAGTCCTCACCACAAATTTGGGATTCCTTGCCCACTCAAAACCCCAATTTTGCAGTCCCTGACCCTCCCCTAACCCCAAATTTGGGGTGCCTGAACACCCCAGACACCAAATTTGGGGTCCCCACCCCTAAATTTTGGGATTCCCCTGATTTTTATGGTCCCAGAACCTCTGAACCCCAAATTTGGGGTCCCTGAACACCCCAGCCCCAAATTTGGGGTCCCTTTTCCCAATTTTAGGGTCCCAGCACCCCAAAAACCCCAACTTTGTGGTCCCATGTCCTCCTAGACCCCAATTTCGGGGTCCCTGAGCCACTAAAGCCCCAGTTTGGCATCTTCACCCCAAATTTTGGGGTCCCCTTTCCCAATTAAGGAGTCCCTGGACCCCCCCAATCCCAGTTTTTGGGTCCTTACTGTATTTTGGGGTCTCTGCCCCCAAATTTTGGGGTCCCCCTGATTTCCAGCGTCCCAGGACAACCATAATCCCGATTTTGGGGTTCCTGACTCCCCAAACCCCAGTTTTCGAGTCCCCATCCCCAATTTTGTGGCCCCAGGAACCCCGAAACCCCAATTTTTCTTCAAGCCCTAAATTTGGGGTCCCTTTCCCCATTTTTGAGCTCCCAGGACCGCCAAAACCCCAAATTTGGGGTCCCTGAACCCTCGAAACCCAAATTTTGGGGTTCCTTCCCCATTTATAGGGTTTCTGATCGAGGCCAAACCCCAATTTTGGGATCCCTGATGAACTCAAACCCCAATTTTGGGGTTTCATGTCCTCCTAGACCCCAATTTTGGGATCTCCTTCCTCAATTTTGGGGTCCCCTTTCCTAATTTTAGGGTCCCAGACCCCCCCAGACTCCAATTTTGGGGTCCCTACCCCCAAATTTTGGGGTCCCTTCCCTATTTTTAGGGTCCCAGACCCCCCCTAAACCCCAAATTTGGGTCCCTGAATCCTCCAAACCCCAATTTTGTGGTCCCCTTCCCCAATATTTTGGGTCCCAGGATCCCCCTAAACCCCAGATTTGGGATCCTATCCCAATTTCGGAGTCTCCACCCTCAATTTTGGGGTCCCAGACCCCCCAAACCCCAAATTTGGGGGTTCTCACCCCAGTCTTTTGGGGTCCTCCTTCCTCCCCCAGAGGCCTCGCTGGAGGAGGCGCAGAGCCGGCNTTTCGGATTTGGGGGTTTAGAGTTTGGGGGATTTTGGATTTGGGGGAGTTTGAGGTTTTGGGGATTTTGGAGTTTGGGATTTTGGGGGTTTTTTGGGGAATTTTGGGATTTGAGATTTTGGGATGTTTGGGATTTGGGGTTTTTGGGGCATAGAATAAGGAATTTGGGGGTTTTGGGGAAGTATTTGAGGGGATTTTGGGATTTGGGAGGTTTGGGGATTTGGGGGTTTGGGATTTTGGGGAGATTTGGGACATTTTGGGGTTTTGGGGGTTTTTGGGGAGTTTTGGCGGTTTTGGGGATTTTGGGGTTTTTGGGATTTTTAGGGATTTAAGATTTGGGGGTTTTGGAGATTTTGGGGTTTGTGATTTTGGGAGGGATCTGGGGGAATTTTGGGGGATTTGAGGGTTTGGGGGTTTGGGTTTTTGGAGTATTTGGGATTTGGGTTTTTGGGAGATTTGGGGGGAGAATTTTGGGGGATTTGGAGGATTTTGGGTTTGGGGATTTCAGGGGACTTGGAGGATTTGGGGTTTTGCGGGGATTTGGGGACATTTTGGGGACTTTGGGATTTTTGGGGGGTAAAATGGGGAATTTTGGGCTGAAATTGGGGAATTTGGGATTTGGGGTTTTTTTGGGATTGGGAGATTTGGGAGTTGGGGCACTTTGGGGGATTTGGTGGATTTGGGGGTTTTTGGGGGGTTGGGGGATTTTGGGGCTTTGGGAGATTTTGGGAATTCGGGTTTGGGATTGGGGATTTGGGGGCGATTTGGGGTTTTGGGCTTTTTTTGTAATTTAGGGGGGAAATGGGGAATTTTGGGGGGAAATGGGGAACTTTGGGTAATTTTGGTGATTTTGGGGTATTTTGGGTGATTTGGGAGAGATTTTTGGGGTATTTTGGTTGACTGCGGTTTTTTGGGTTAATGTTGGTGATTTGGGGTGATTTTGGGTTAATTTTGGTGGATTCTTGGGTTAATTTTGGGNACCCAAAATTATCCCAAATTTGTCCTAATGTACCCAAAATTCCAAATTTTTATTCCCTTTTCCCCAAAATCCCCATTTGTTCTCCCCAAAAACTCCATTTTTCTTCTCCTGTTTCCCGAATTTTATCCCCCAAAATCCCCATTTCTATTCCCATTTTTCCCTCCAAATTCCTGTTTTTATTCCCATTTTTCTACCTATTTTCCTCCCAAAATCCCCATTTCCCCTCCTATTTTTCCCCATTTTTTCCCCATTTCCTCAGTTTCTCCATTTCTCACCCCAAATTTCCCTGTGCTCCCCCCCCATGGCTGTTCCTGCTCTGGGTGGGGCTCTCAGCCTTCTGGGGCTCCCTGGGCCCCAAAATCGCCCCAAATCACCCCAAAATTCGGCCCCAAAATCCCCAAAATTTGGCCTCAAAATCGGCTCTAAAGTCCCTGAATTCAGCCCCAAAATCCCCAAGTTTGGCCCCAAACTTGACCCCAAAATTGGCTCTGAAATCCCTAAATTTGGCCCCAAAATCCAGTCCCAAAATCGCCAAAATTTGGCCCCAAATCCTCCAGATTTGCCCTAAAATCTGCCCCAAAACCGGTATGAAACTCCCAATATTCCACCGTAAAATCCCAAAATCCAGCCCTAAAACCAGCCCCAAAATTGACTCTAAAATCCCCACAAACGGCCCCAAAATCCACTCTAAAGTCCTAAAATCTGGCTCCAAATTTAGCCCCCAAATCCCCAGAAAAAAAACCCCAAATTTTGCCCGAAATCACCAAAATTGCGCTCCAAATTTGGCCCCATGATTGTCCATAAAATGCCGAAAATTTGCTCTAAAGTGCCCAAACTCAGCCCCAAAATCCTCAAATTCAGCCCCAAATTCGGCCCCAAAATCCCCATATTTGGCCTCAAAAATCTCCAACATTTGNAACCCCTCCCCCTCCGCAGGTGTCAATCAAGGCCCTGTGCAAGGCCAGGGAGGTGGAGCTCCAGAGGCCACACCCACACAGGTAAGCCACACCCCTTCTTCCTTAACCCCTAATTAACCCCTCAATTAATCAATTAATTAATGAACCCCAGAGCTGCACATCACCCCGGAAAGGCTCAGGAGGCTCCGGATTGGTCAGAACAGGCTGAGGTGGGCGTGGCTGGTTGGGGAAGGGGGCGTGGCTCTGCTCAGGCCACGCCCTCTGCTCTGACACGTGGCGCCCCCTACAGGCTGTACTGATTGGCCACAGCCCAGAGGCGGTGCTTTGGGCGCTGGAGGTCCTGGCCAATCAGAGCACAAGGTAGGTGGACCCTGAAGGAGTGGGTGGGGCTTAAAGGTGAGGGAGTGGCTTAAAGAGATGGGTTGGGCTTAAAGTGTGGATGTGGCCTAAGAGGGTGGGCGGGGCCTTAATATGTAATGGGGGCTTAAAAGGTGGGTGGGGCTTAATAGGGAGGTGGGGATTAAAGGGGTGGGTGGACCTTTAGGATGTAGGCGGGGCTTAGAAGAGTGGGTGGGGCTTAAAAAGGGTGGGCAGGGTTTAAGGTGAGGGTGTGGCTCAAAGGGTATGGGTGTGGCTTAAAGATGTGGGTGGGGCTTAAAGGGGTGGGTGGGGCTTTAATAGGTGGGTGGGGCCTAAAGGAAGGGAGGGTCTTAAAGGGGGTGTGTGAAGCTTAAGGGGATGAGCGGAGCTGAAAGGGGTGGGTGGGGCTTTAAAATGTGGGAGGATCTTGAAGGGATTGGGTGGGCTAAATGCTGGGTGGGGCTTAAACAGGGGTGTGGCCTAAATGGGTGGGTGGGGCTTAAAGACATGGGTGGAGCTTAAAAGGGTGGGTGGGGCCTAAGTGGGTGAGTGGAGGTTAAAGGGATGGGCAGGCCTTAAACAGGGGGTGGGTGGGGCTTAAAGGGGTCAGTGTGGCCTAAATGGGTGGGTGTGGCCAAAAGCAATGGGTGGGGCTTAAAGGGGTGGGTGGGGCTTAATGGAGTGGGTGTGGCCAAAAGGAATGGGCATGGCCCAAGTGGGTGGCTGGGGCTTAATGGGGTTTTTAGAACATTTTTGGGTCCCTGAGGGGATTT